GTTTGCACACACTTTTCTTTTATTTATTTATTTTTCTCTTATTTGTGTTCTTGTGTGTTTGATTTTTAGTTTATGTTTGTCGCATGAGTGCTTGTGTGATTGTGTGTTCTTTCCTATGCTTTTTGGTCAAGCAATGAGGACATTGCTTTGTTTTAAGTGTGGGGGAGTAATCTCATAATTATGCATGCTTAGGCGTCATTTTAGGTGTGTGTTCGTGTCGATTTCCCCATATGAAGCTTAATGTTTGTTTCAAGTCAAAATGACTAAGTGATTAGTTTGGATTGTCGTTTGGTTTCATTGATAATTCTCATGCTCGATGTACTTGATGAATTTGACGGTTCCCTTAAAATTAAATGAAGATTTGTTGACATTGGAAACAACAATTGTGTTCGAAAAAAATTGTTTTGTCCCTTGTTTATTCTCGATTGGTGATCTCGAAACAATCTTGTCTTATGTTCGATTATTGTTAACGTGTTATGCTATACGCTTGTGTTACGTCTTGATTGAATTATGATGTTCATGTTATTATATTCATGATGTATCCTTGTGTTACCATCCCTTAAAAAAAAAAATGTGAATAAGATGTGAGTTCGCAAGGAAGTACGAATTAGGCTCCTATTGTTTCGGTCCATTTTATGGAATGAGATAATGAGCCCGGGAAACCGGTCTAGAAAACTCGAGGAAAACCCTCGAGGCTAGATAATAATCATTCGGAAACCTTGTTTGGAAAAATGTAGCTCACGAAAAAAAAAATAAAAAAAAAATAAATAAATAAAATTGAGCTCGTGAGAGTTGAAAGGATTAGACTCCGCTTGATCTGAATAATCTCAATCGAGATAGATATGGTCAATGAATATGGGAAACCGGCCTAGGACACTCGGGGACAAACTCTGAGGGTAAACCTAGGTAATTATTGTCTTAACGACTCTCATTTGGAAAAAACGACTCATTAAATAGAAATAATAAAAAGAGGGAATTGGACTTTTGGGTTGGTTCTTATTGTTTCCTACATATTGAGTAAACCATTTATAGCTTTTTGCACGTGTATTTGTAAAAAGGAAGTTTGAATTAAGTAAATCATTTGTAGAATAACTTGGGACGAGTTTTTGTTTCGTTTGAACTCATTTTGTGGGGACCGTGTTTTCAAATTTGAGTTGAGTTTTATGGATAACCGGAGGAAGACGAGAGTTTCATTTTGCATGATTATTAACTTTGGACTTTTCGATCTTTCTTCTCGAATTGCTTGTTGTTTTGTTTGCTTGAGGACAAGCAAAGAGTTAAGTGTGGGGGAGTTGTTTGTACTATTTTTGTTACGTTTTTCGTTATTGTTTTGTAATTCTTTTTCCCCTGTTTTAAGTCTTTTTGTTAGTTTTTAGTTAGTTTTGTGTTTTATTATGTATTTTGTTCCATTTTGGTTTTCTTTATGTTTTTCGTGTGTTTTTCCGGTTTTTCTTTGTTTTTGGTGTGCAGGTTGAAAGTCTCGTGAGGAGTCGATTATAGACCGGGCAATCATGGTGGACTTATTGGCTACACATAGGAAAAACCGGAATTTGATTTCGAGTTCGGATGAGTTCGTACGGAACCGAAGAGTAAAATCGAGCGAGTTGCCGACACCTTGGAAGTTAAAAATCCTTAGATAATTGTATTCTGGGTGAAATTTGTATTGGCATACATCATTGAATAGAGGGGTTCGTGTGTAGCCAATAAGTCCACCATGATTGCCCGGTCTATAGTCGACTCCTCACGAGACTTTCGACCTGCACACCAAAAACGAAGAAAAACCGGAAAAATACACGAAAAACACAAAGAAAACCAAAATGGAACAAAATACATAATAAAACACAAAACTAACTAAAAACTAACAAAAAGACTTAAAACAGGAGAAAAAGAATTACAAAACAATAACGAAAAACATAACAAAAATAGTACAAACAGATCTCCGACTGGAGGTCCTCCAGTGGGGGCAACTGGGGACCTCCCTTGCTTGCAAAGACCAGAACCCGATCTTGGGGTGGTGTGTGTCCCGACTCCTGGGGAAGAGGGGGAAATGTCAGAAGGTCGGGCCAAGAGGGTCCCAATTGTGGACGGAGAAGAGGGTCTGGTTGTGAGCACCACCAAATGCTCACTCGCAAGAGAAGGTGTAGGGGAGGTCTCTGATCTAACTAAAGGAGTGGAGGCGACTGGAGGGGACCTCAGCGCTTGAGGTTCCTCCATAGAGATAAAGGGTTCACTAGGGTTCACAGTGGTATGGGAGCCAGAGGCGGTGAGAGGGGAATGAAGGCTATTAGCTAAAGGGGCCAAAGGATCTGTCTCGTCGTCTAAGAGGTCATCATCATCAAGGAGAGAGATAGTCGAGTGTACTAGGTGGCTGGAGGTGGAAGAGGGCTCATCTCTGTCTCTGAAGCGAGGACCAAGAAGAATGAGTGAATGCCCACGGGAGCCGGATGGAGGGACTGACGAGGGAACAACCCCGTAGCTCTGGACTTTGGCTTGTCCAAGGCAACTCCCCTGGGGTGGTTAGGCAGGGGGGCCTTTCCGACCTGGTAGAGAGTTTCAATAACAGCCTTGCCCTTGTCCTTTTGTCCCTTCGGGGGCTCAGGCGCTCGGGCAAGGGCCTTACCCTTCCCCTGAGGGTCCCTCGGAATAGCTGAAGGACCTGTCTAGCCAATCGACGATGAGGAGGTAGATACGGCCGGGGCTTGTTGCCCCTAGTGTAGCAATCAGTCGGTGTATGACCTACATGGTCGCAGAGGGTACAAAATAGAAGAACTCTCTCGTAGACCGCCTTCTGAGTGGTGGTCTTTCCTCCCTGGGAGAGCTCAATCTCCTCAATGAGATCACTACGCAGGTCTATCTCAACGTACACCCGTGCGACAGAGAACTTCGACCTGTTGGTCGTGGCGTCATCAACTTCAATCGGATTTCATTACAGGTGGCAATCGAGATAAGGGCAGTGGGGTCAAAAAGATGCGCGGGGAGGCCTAGTCAACAACACTAGACTGGGACAATGGGAGACTCCGCCGAAGGGGAGAAATCTGGAGTGTATTTGAACACTAGGGCCGAGCACCCACAAATGGATATAAACGATTTAATCCACACTGAGTTATAGTCCTCTTTCAAATTAAAAAATACTATGTAATGATTGAAGTTTAAATATCTAGGAGCAAGTCTACTTTTAAAACCTAATTTTCCCAATCCAACAGATAAATCTCGGAGGTTGGGGACGGAGAAGGAAAACTTAAAAATAATGGCATTCACAAACGGCTCGACTAAGGAAGAAATATCATGATCAGGGAAACTAAACGTAAACCGACCATCCTAGGAGCGTGTAATAGTTCTTCGTTGCTTGTTTCGAAATGACTGAAGCGATCGTCTCTGGAAGCCCGACTTGCCGGCTGGATTGCCGTTAATCACATCCCGGAAGGATCTTGGACCGGTGGGGGGCACAGCTGGGTTGGCCGAGGCTGCGATCAAGGTAGACATCGGAAGAGGAGTCGGCAAGGGCCCGGTGGCTGTTGGGAGGCTAGAACCTGTCGGGGGCTGTCTAGTTGTAAAGGATCCAGTGAGGAAGGCCGATGAATGCCTGAGTGCCACGGGGGATGAACGAGAGGGGCCTGTCAGGGGATGGGCCGCCTGGGCAACTCCAGTGAGGGTGGTTGTGGTGCCGAAAGTCAACCGTGTGGAGTTCGCTGGCAGAATAGGACCGAGACCAAGTAAACCCACCGCCGGAGACGGGGCGCCGGTGGGGTTGCAGCAGCCGGAGCCGCCGCCAGAGGACTGGCCGGAGAACGGACGCCATCGGTCGTCGGTGGTTTGCCGGATCAGGAGGTTTGGACGGAGTTTGGTATATGAGAAGAGGCCAGAAGCTGTGGACGATGAGAGTGGATTTTGGTTTGGGCCTGTGCTAAATTGGAAGGGTGAGGGGCTGTTGAGGGTGGCCCAATTGAGAGAAAAGGGGCTGAAGCGGGCCTTGGGAGTGGCCCAGCCCTAAATTCTACCAGCTGAGGGTTTGTGTTCGCCATAACTGCGCCTCCATGTGTACGGTTCAAATATGAGGAAGAGATACATAGATCCGTCGGCAAAGATCCAAATCTGAGGAAGCGATTCTCTTCTACCGTCATCGCAGGGCCTGACGACGAAATCGATAGGTGGCCGGTGGATGTTCCATTTCCTGAGAGCTTCATTGGGGTCAGCGCACGGGAGGTCAACGGGGAAGATGACGGAGGCGCCTTGTCGACGGCTGAAGAAATGCCGGCAACAGTCGGGATTGACGCTGGAATTTCTCATTCTTCCAACAAGTTTGGTGAGACTCTATCTATCAGAAAATTACTCAAAGCTTTTATTAGTTCTGGTTGAGATAGGAAGTCAGTCAATGCCGGCAGGGAGAGGCTGGCCATGGCTGGGGGAGGTGCTGTCGGAGGGATCGGTGAGGTGGTCGTCGGGGGAGTCATAGAGATCGAAATTAAGAAATAGGAAAGAGAGAAGAGATGACCCAGAGGCTCCGCCAGCGACGGCGGCCAACGAGGGTGGCTAACTTGAAGAGGTGGCCAGAGAATAAAGAGGAGGAAGGAGGATGGTTTTGGTGAGTTTGAATTTTAGAGAGAGACACTTTAGAGAGAGAGAGCATTTGTTCTTCAGGGATTCAGACAGCTTATGTATGCTTCCTTCAGATTATGTATGCTTTCTAATGCAGTCTGCTCCTTTAACTTTTTGTGATTTTCCAATCCACCACCACAAAGTATTTTTTTTATATAATTTCACCTCAAAGTGTAAGTTGTGTAGTGATTTTTTCGACGAAAAAAAAAAAACTCACCAACACTGTGTCCAATCCAACGTGTTTTCCAGACTGAATGTTTCGAACACTATCCTAAAAAAACAGCTGCAACAAACAATACGGTATACCAAATCAAGAATGTTTCATATTAAGGTACAAAGTAGTGTAAAAATGTCACAAATGCAAAACAAATGTCAAAAAGAAACTCATTGTTCTGGGTGGTTCAATGTTGGCGATCTTGAGAGCGGTATCATTAGCATATTCCAAAGTCTTGCACACAATCGGCGTCTTTGGCAACAGCCCGGATGGGCCCATGCTAGTGGGCCGAGAAAAGTGCCCGATAATGCCGAATACCTCACGACCCGTGCGCGATCAGAGGCTGCAAGGAGCTCTTGTGAATCAGGTTAAGCGTCTCGAAGCATATTATCCCTTCGAAACAGTCCTCCAATCCGAGTCAATTCAAGACTTTCACAACATGGACTTTGACAGTATTCGTGAAGATCTGTTTGTTTTACGAGACAATAAAAAAAAAAAAAAACACGCGGATTATTATAATCATTCGAGATTACGAGTTTTTGGTCAAGAAACCGACCGGGACAGAGCTCGAAAATGTACTTACGACTTTTCGAACGGGCAAGCTTGGCAAGAGGCTTCTCAAGAGGGGGTTCGGTTTCAAATTTTCATAAGACAACCGCCCGTGGACGAAGCTGAAACATGCCGAAATTCAAACACGTTAGTAATATAGTGCTTGTTCGGGAACACTTTTTCGAAATTCGGTTTTTTTAACGTTTTGGAGAACCAACTTATTCATAAGTCCATTTTAAATTTTTATGTTTGAGTTATTTAGGGGGTGATTGCATAGTTTTTAAACTCGGCCCGGTCAGGTCTCTGGGTCACCGGTTCAACCGTCGGGTCACCGGGTCAATTATTGAACCGGATAATTAACTTTAAAATTTTTAAAATTATATATAGAGTATTTTGTCATATAAATATACATAAAAGTAACAAAATTAAATGTTTTGTGTATAAAATTTGTACATTAAAGTGTTAATAATATGTATCTGATGATAAATATTTACCATATAAACATATATACATAGTTTTATTTTTAAAAAACAAAAAATTAAAAAAATATAAATGGGTCGGGTCAATTTGGTTGATCCAGCCGGGTCAATGCCCCAGGTAGGCCGAGTGAAGGCCGGGTTGGCCGGGTTTTTGACCGGGTCCTTTGTTGTCCGGTCCAAATAGCCCCACCCACACCGGTTCTGGCACCAGGTCGACCGGGTCCCTGGTCGACCCGCTGGGCCGATCCGGGACAAAAAACTATGGGTGATTGGCTACATATTAAAATCGGTTTTGACTGATTGGATAATTTCGTTAACATTTTTAACTAAAATCTAACCCAACTCTTCTCAATATTATCAATATAATTAAATAATATCAGTCAATAATGCTCACACATCAAATCAAATTTCAATTTACTATTCATCTACTAACATATTTTTAATTATTATTTCAAATAATCTATCTCCTACTTTTACATCACATCAATTTTAATCATTATATTTAAAATATTACCTCCTATTCTTTTTAAATGTCGTTCTGGCTTTGACACATAAATTAAGAATTTTTTTTTTTTTTGCCAATATTAGCCTTATTTAAAGCCAATTAACATTAATTAATTTATTTCTTTTCAACTTTTTTGTATGTTCTTTTAAAAGAGAAAACTCATTGTTTTCCACAATTTTCCTCTCAAAACGTGTAGTGTATTACTTAATTGAGGGTAGCAATGAAAAAATATATATAAAAGATCCATAACGTAATTTATTTGATTAATGATCAATAAAGTCACAATTGACAAATAAAAAGAATAGGAGGGGTATTATTTAAATACAAACTCAAAATCTCACTCAGTCCTTCATTTAATCAATTATTCAAAATTAACTCACTTTAACTTAAAATTCAATCAAAATCAGTTTTCAGTTATATCCAGTCGTTTATTATTCGAATGGACTTTTTCTTATTTGAGAATTGTTTACAAACGAGCTCATAATCTTAACAACATAACACAACTTCCTTAATCGATATATAGCGATACGACACACCCCAATCTTATGGCTCCCATCCAAAGCAAACTTGTGGTACTCGACGTTAGGGCTGCGCATGGGACTCGGAGAATTCCAAACCGTTCCGAAAACCGAACCAAAATCACTACGAACCGAAAAATAACCGTTGACCATTTGACTTTCTTCGAACCAAACTGAACAAAAAAATAATTGGTATGTTCTGGAGATTTCACAAATATCCGTACTGAGAACCGAACCGAACCGTCGCATACCGTACCGAAACGAAGAACCGAATTATAAAAAAAATGTGTGTTATTAATATATTTTATGTCAACTTTGATCCTATATAATTTGAGAATTTTTAAAATGAAAATAAAGTATAGTAATAACAATTAAGCTTCACTTAAATTTCATGCTTAGTAATACTTGATCTCATTGTAGAGTATGCTAAATAAACTGTATATCCTTATAATGCAAATTAGAAAAATCTTGATAATAGAAGGGATTCAGTTTTTGGCATTTGTTAAATCAAAGTTGTTTAATTAGTATACAAAAAATTAAATTGTATAAAAACATGTGTTTATATTTTGTAAAATATTTATTCACTATTTAATTTTAAATTTATTTGCATATTTTAAATTATTTACATAAAAAAATAATGCTAACATGCATTAAATATACTTTCATTTCATAATATGAAAAAAATAAGACGTACAACTTCTATAGCTTTTATAAATAATAATGGCATTATATAACAACAAAGTTTATAATAGAATAATAACTAAGTATTATATGGTGAACAAGAATAAATAAAAGTGTTATTTTCTCTTATATCAAGGAATAAATATATATACTAAAATCAAATGTATATTAGTATAAATGTGTTAGTGAGATCATATGTTTTTTATTTTATAAGTTAATCCTAACATGCTTATATTTAATGTTTTGGCTAAAAAAACAACAATCATTGGGGGGATCGACGAGACGATTGGGCGTATTTAAATTTCGATGGGAACCAGTGCAATTGGGGTGATCGTGGAAAATCGTTCTATGAAGATCCACAATATTCTCGATCGTATGAGCCTACTTATGAGCACGATGAATCTCAATTTCAATATAAAGGCTCGCAACATTTTTTGAAACATTCTCTTAAACAAGAGGCTTGTCTATCATTGGCGTAAATACTTTTTTTAAAAAAAAATTGTTATTCAAAAATTGTTGTTATATTTTTTTTAAGCGGAACAATGATTCTAATTGAATCCAATGTAGACGTTAGGGGTGAGCATGGGTCGGTACGGTTCGGAGATTGAAAAATCTCTGGAACCGTACGAAAATTCAAAGATCACTAAATTCGATATTCGGAACCGTACCAAAAAATCGGGGCGGTTCAGTTCGGAGATTTTTTTTTCGGTTCGGTTCGATTCGGAGATTTTTATTTTTCGGTTCGGTATTCGGGACTATCAAAACGGTTTGGTTCGGTATGGCTCGGATCAGATCTTCAGAGATTTCTTATTTTTAGAAAATTTTTTTTGAGTGACTACCTAGTTATATATTAATTTTTATATGCTTAAAGAAAACAACTTTCATTAGTGCTTCATCATATCGAAGATTTTATTTTGAAATCAACTTTATAAGTAGCTATATATTTTAGTTATTTAATTTTTATATGCTTTAGAAAAAACCAATATTCATCAATACTTCCTCATATTAAAGATTTTTTATTTTTAAATCAACTTTAGAAGTAACAAAAAATTTTAACGAAGACTAAATTTGTGCAACTAATATTGAAAATTTAAAATTTAAATTAAATATAATATACTGTTTTCTTACAAAAATATTCTTTAACTTTTCACCTCTAGGCCTTTGGGCAGTGGATGGTGTTTGGGTTTTATTCTCCTGTTAGAGTTGAGGTTCTAGGCCGCTATATGTTTGTCCTCTTAGTTTTTATTTTCGGTCTTGGCTTGTATCATTCGAACCAAAAAAAAAAAAAAAAAAAAAAAAAAAAAAAAAGTAAAAGAAAAAAAAAAACCTTTCATATCATTTTAAATAATTTTTTTATAATAAGAAAAATTCAATTGTAAATCAAGGATCACTAAGCATAAAATATAATTGAAGCTTAATTGTTATTACTATATTTTCTTTGCATTTTATAAATTCTCAGATTATATAGAATCAAAGTTGACATAAAATATATTAATAACACACATCTAATGTTATAATTCGGTTTTTAGTTTTGGTTCTTTGGTTCGGTACGGTATGAGACGGTTCGGTTCGATTCTCGATACGGATATTTGTGAAATCTCCAGAACCGTACCAACTATTTTTTCAGTTCGGTTCGGAGAAAGTCAAATGGTCAAAGGCTATTTTTCGGTTTGGAGTGATTTCGGTTCGGTTTTCGAAACGTTCAGAATTCTTTGAATCCCATGCTCAGCCTAGCGGACGTTGCATACTATATGTTTGTTTACTAAAAACTCAATCCATATTCAATTCATACTCAAAATCTAACTCAACTTTAACTCAATCCTACTATCCTGAATACTATCTTTATAATTAAATAATATCAACCAATCATCATTACACATCACATCAATTTTATTTCACTATTCATCCACTCTCTTAATTTTAACTAATTATCAATTCACATCATCTCTCTTACTTCTACATCAAACTTTATTATTTTATTTTAAATATTATTTTAATATAAATGCAAAATCTCACTAATAACTAGTCATACTACCTTTTTCAAAATTAATGATAATTTAAGCTCCGGATCACTAAAGGGTTTGTATATAAATATATTCGCTCAAAATAATTTAAATATATAAATGTAAAATCTCACTAATAACTAGTCATACTACATTTTTCAAAATTAATGATAATTTAAAAAAAAAATTATTTTGAGCGAATATATTTATATACAAACCCTTTAGTGATCCGGAGCTTAAATTCCACAGGGCTAACATCACTAGAAGTTTACTGTTCTTTTTTCATAGTCTATGTTGCAAAAAGGACAAAACACAAATGGCTCATATTTTTTTTAATAATTAGTTGTATTAAAAAATTATATATATATATATAGTTAAAGAATATATTAAAAAATATATATGTAATTTGTTAGTAAAAAAATATTTACTAATTATTATTTTATATTTTTGATTCAGGGTGTTAGTAGACCTAGACAATCTGACAGGAATGACGACGACGAGGTTAATGAATATTATGAAGATTCTGGCCCCCGACACACTAGAAGTCGGGGTGTAGATGCGTCCGTTCGTCGGGAGAGGGACAGACAGACCATGATCGATCAGGCTCGGAGGATAGATGCGTCCGTTCGTCGGGAGAGAGACAGACAGATGATGCTCCTCAACTACAATATAATTTTGTAATTTAGAGGGATCATACAATTAATTAGTTACAAAAGTATTTGGATTATTTTTATTATTGTTATAATCAAGTAGTAGTAATATTATATAATAAATTAGTTTAAAATTATCATTTTACTTTATTAATGTAAAATATAACATTTCTAAATAATTTTTTTTTATTGTAAAACATTAAGTTGAATGATCTGTAACACGAATTAAAAATGAAAAAGAAAAATATCATTGATGCGATTTTCGATTACAGAGACAGGCTCCTTCTCTTGAGAGTCTGACGGGTCGACTCAGGAGAACGAGCTTGTCTTGAAACGTTGGAACATACATTCGTGTTACAGAGCAATCGAAAATCGCATCCATTGTACTTTTTTTTTACTTTTAAGTTGAATGGTTTTTTTTATTTGATAAACTTTAGTTGAATGATTTTTTTTATTCTAACGTCCAATTTATAACAAATTATTTTGAATATATAACATAATAATTTATAATAATATTATTTTCAAAAAACAATTAATGTCCGGTTGGTCGGACCGGTCACGACCGGCAGTCGGGGCCGGACGCCATTTGGGCCGTCCGGTTTCGGCGGCCAAACAACAATATTTTTTTTTTACTTTTTGGAAAAAAATGTCAGAGACAAAACTGTCCAAGAGAGACGGTAACTAATAATAGAGGGAGCGGTGAATAGTAATGTCCCTTATTCTAAGAATAAATCCCCTTCAATATTCTGACATCATAACTTTTTGACATAAGCATTTGTGCTCAATTTATTCAAACCAAAGATAAACATAAAATATCATACATTGCACCTACGGTTGATTCTTGAGTTTTGACTTTTAATTGGATTTGATTTATATTGTAACTTTTGAGGTTCCTTTTACATAACTAACGGATTAAGCCCCATAGCTTCAATTGTTACGAACGCATTCAAATTTGGACGGGAACCAATGTGATTGGGGTGATTATGGAAATTTGTTTTATGAAAATCTATAATATTCTCGATCGTATAAGTTTACTTATTAGTACAACGAATCTCAATTTCAATATGAAGGCTCGCAACATTTTTCAGAACATTTGCTTAAACAAGAGGCTAATCCATTATCAGTGAAATTTTTTTTTTGAATTGCTGTTCGTAATGTCTGTTGTATTTTTTATTTTTTATTTTTTATTTTATTTTTTTATGTTGGAAGCGTAACATTGATTCTGTGTAAGACCATTGCGGCTGAAGCTGTAGACTAAGTGATCCCGAGTTTAATTTCCACAGGCTAACACCTAGAACTGCCTAATAGGCAACTTTACGGCTGTTCTTTTTTCTTAGTCGCCGTTGAAAATAGGACAAATAACACATGGCTCGTATTTTGATGAATGAATACTCATTGGATAACTCTATTGGCATCTTCTTATTCTCAACATAAATCAACAAACTTATCCAATGAACAAATCCCCTTCAATATTCTGTCATTAAAACCTTTTGATCATCCAAATCTGTCACAGCTATTTGTGCTCAATTTACTCGAACCAAAGGTAAACATACAAAAATATCACACTTTCGCACCTCCATCTTAGCTAAGGTTGCTGCTTGAGTTTTAACTTTTAGTTTGATTTGATTTATATTCTAACTTCTGAGGTTCCATTTTTTTTTTTCTCTCCCTCATTTGAGTTGTTAGGAAAAATGGATCTGCTTGATCATGAACACTTGAATTCATCACATGGATTTCTTTCTGTTGTCCGATCCACAGCCAAGTTTTCCAACCGGGCGCTAGACAAAGAGTCGTCGTTACCTTCTTCAGGCCACATATCAACTGTCGATGACCACAGCAGTCAAAACGGTTGTGATATATCAGATGCCGCCTTGAGATACATTGACCAGATTCTCATGGAAGAGGAGACCGATGATGGGGCCCACACTCTCCACGAGTCGTCATAATACAACCTAATCCTCATAATCTGCACACTTGCAGGGGCGTAGGACTAGTTTAATCATTGAAGGATGTCAAATTTCCCCTTAGTACTATCTGATGTAGGGAAGCGTACGAGTGAGGCCATAAACGAACGAGATACTCTCTCGATAAAACCAATCAAATCATATTCTTATTCATAATCAACTAATGAAAATAAACTAGATGGAGTCCTTTATATAAGGCTCCTAACCCTAGACCTAACTTGTCCAACAAGACAAAAACTCTTATTAAATATTAAACAATTCCTAATTTATTCTCTAAGATATCTAATAATAATAATAATAATAATATTCTATCCGCATCATTCTCTCCCGGTTGAGCAGGATTCGCCCTCGAATCCGACCCGTTCTTGTTGGAGATGTCCCCATGACAAGAATAGCCCGGCGTTTCCCCCTGTCGAACACGAAGGTTGAACAACGTTGTGATCTACCTTGGCTAGCCACAAAATACTCGGTTGCTCGAATGACACTTCTCCTCTCCTCAACTTGAGTTACTCGCTCAACCCAAACAAATACTTCTAAAGCCTTTGCCCTTTTCTGGATATTGGAGGTTGCACCATTGAACTGCTTCAATATATATAGCCGCATATCAAACTCCTCTGCTTCAAATTCCTTAAATCCAGATGCAACACCACCAAGAATCGCATCAAGTGCAATGGTTTTGATAGCAACAGTGCCAACTTCATCCTCCGACCCCGGAGGCTCCTCATCGAAAATCGGCGGACCGTCGTACAATGGCCCGTCAACTTGCTCACTGTCGAATTTGGGGATGTCAACGCGAAACGGGCCCTCCCATTGACTATATTCGCGATCAAGTCCCCAATCGGGTCGGGCACGATATCCGCCGACGAAAGCAGCCTCCTCGTGCCTGCCTCTATCGTCGCCGTCCACGAAGACCTGGCCCCATCGCCGCATGTCACGGCCGTCGTATGCAACGAAGGGGTCAGCCTCGACGTGCGGGGTTGGAAAATCGTCGAAGGGATTCACCTCCGAGACTGTCTCCTCGCCGTCTTCGTCGCCGAACGGTGGTTGTGAAGATCTCCGGCGGGGCGCCCCGCTTGGACCACGGCCTCCACTTCCTCCGCGAAATCCCCCGCGAACGCCCCGGTTGCCGACGTCACGGTACTTTTGCTTGTCCCGAACCATGGTACGGATAGTTAGACGTATGTCCCCGATCTCCGCGGACAGATCTGCAATGTCACGACCCATTGTCTCGAGCTCGCGGCCAAACCACTCGGCCCGGCGGCTCAGGTTGTAGATGGCGGCGACACGCCTGTTGTTTGCAGCATCTTGTCTTCACGACAGCATTGTGAATCGTGCTGACTTCTGATACCAACTGATGTAGGGCAGCGTACGAGTGGGACCATAAACGAACGAGATACTCTCTCGATAAAACCAATCAAATCATATTCTTATTCATAATCAACTAATGAAAATAAACTAGATGGAGTCCTTTATATAAGGCTCCTAACCCTAGACCTAACTTGTCCAACAAGACAAGAACTCTTATTAAATATTAAACAATTCCTAACTTATTCTCTAAGATATCTAATAATAATAATAATAATAATAATATTCTATCCGCATCACTATCTATCTATATCTATATATATATATATATCTATTGTTAACGAGATTCAGGCTTTGGGGTTTGGGAGAGGGATGGGTTGAGTTGTGTAGTGAGTGGTGTGTTGAAAATGGCGGCTCAAGAAGTGAAGCGGCCATTGATGAGCTTTGCTCCGTTTCAGAACGAGGGAAACAGGAGAGACAATGAGTTGGGAGTCTTTTATCCAATGTGTGATGTCCACGTGTCCATCTCTAAATGATAAAATTTTTCATTTTTATCTTCGTTCTTTCGGTCCTTTACTCCTTCCCAAATCCCACGTTTTCCATGAGCAGCGATGAAAATTGGGGATGCCTTAACACAGTCCCTCTCACTGTCTCTCTGTAATCCTCTTTAGCTGATTGTGTAAAAAGGTTTTAATTCTTACCGATGAAAAAAAAGGTCTTAACTCTTAAGCATGATGTTTGATTCTTTATTCTTAGCAATAATTATGTAATTTGTAACAAACTTTCAAGTTTACTGAATCTTTTGGGTGTTAGAATATCACTTGTGAGTTGTCTCACATCATCCATACATGGAAAATAGACCCACCTTATAAGAGTAATGGGCTATTCCTCCTTCCACCAATTGATTTTGGGATGGAACCTCATTTGGGTTTCATATGGTCTTTTCCTGTTTTCCCATGATGCGCTTCATGGTAGCGGACCCGCACCCATGGTAGTGGGCCCGCATCCGTTTTTCTCCAGTTTATGTTAGTGGGTTTAGCTCTTTTTTAAGTCTTGTTGGTATTTTCTCCTTTTGTGTTTGTAACTGCCTGCCATGTGTTTGTTCTTTTGACAGGCTCCTGTTTTTGGATTCTTCTGTCATGTAAAACAAAAGTTTTGATTTTGAAACAAAATGTTGAGGTTTAGTAAATAGATTTGTGTGCAGACATGTGTTCAGGTTCAGCATTATACTAAAAAAACTGCAGATTTCCTTGAAAATGATTATGAATCTGTAACTGATATTATGATTATGGGGATTTTTCATTCATATATTATATTTATTGTTAGCAAATAGATTTGTGTGCAGACATGTGTTCAGCATTATACTAACAGAACTGCAAATTTTCTTGAAAATGATTATGAATCTGTAACTGATATTATGATTGTGGGGAATTTTCTTTCATATATTTCTTTTGGTGTGTATGACAGAAAAATGGATACGTGCTTTCATGTATCTTTCGATTTTTCAAATGAGTCTCAGTAGGAAAATCATAAATCATACTTTTTTTATTAATAATTAATTAACATTACATAGAAACAGAGGAATGGATAATAAAAATGCAAGAAATTTCCCATGTAAATCATATTTCCTTTCCCCAGTTATCAAGAATGCTCATAGATTAAGCTCTGACAGAAGTTTCCACTGCAACCCCTTTGAAACTTGATTCAGACAGCTTATCAGCTTCCCAAAGCTCAGGAATTGCTTCCTTCAGATTATGTATGCTTTCTAATGCATAGTCTGCTCCTTTAACTCTCTGTGATTTTCCAATCTGCCAGCACAAATTTTTTAATATATAATTTCACCTCAAATTGCAAGTTTTTTAGTGATTTTTTCGATGAAAAAAGAAAA